CTCTAAAAATATTAATAATATAGTCAGATGAAACGTATCCTCCGCCATGCATGCGTCTGTCCTCGCTGCATCTATGGTGAGGCTCAACCCGGGGTGTTCAACGTCAGCGGCCCCACAGGATGTGCCAGCGAGGGTTGAAACAGGATGCGTGGCTCGCCGCCCCGCCCAACGCCAATCCTCGCCACAAACCCACTCGACGACCCAGCACCAGTGCCGCCCAGGCTGCTCGCAGGACAGCACCGATTCCATCAGAGTGCTCAAACAACAGACTCGGCCTCAACGCCGTTGGGCGGCACAACGGTGACGCCGCCAGGTGCGGCCACCCTGGCAGCAGAAATTCGAGACGCCGGTCTGCTCCGCGCGGAAATCGCACCGCCGCGCCCAGCCGCTTTCTGCGGCCCCGTTAGTACAACCACAGGGGGCGCGGCTAGGATTGATCATTTGAGCACCCATAACGGGTAACAACTAAATTGAGTAGATGCACATCGCAAAGAAACCGGTATGCTACATACCATAAATACATAATCTATACACGCCGCCCGCAGCGCCCCGCACCGCACCGCACGCCCACGCACCGGGACAGCAGCACCAACCGGCACCCTCATTGGCATGCACCTCGGGCACCCACACGCACGGCGAGCACTCTCATGGCATCGCACCGGCACACACACATAAGAAATGAAAATCATCATCTCAACATATGTTAAACCGTTTTGTGTAACAACTGAGCAAGATAATTTCGCACGAGATGGTCACAAGTGTCCGACTTAATTAATTAAACATAACACTCATCACACTTCTTCACCTGGTTCCAAAAGTCATGAAGGCAAAAACAAACACACTAATTTGAGATTACATAAGTAAGCAAAATAAAAAAAAACTCAAAAGATAGTTAATTGTTGTTGAATCTAAGACTACCAACACCTGTAAAACACGATAGATATCACCACTACGTATCGATACACCATCAACACATACGACGCCAGATGCTTTAATATAAGCCGGAACAACTAATAACCTGTACAAGCCGAATCACCTAACACGACATTTGTCCACCTGCATCAAAGAAAAATTTCCCTTTTCTCTTTAGGACTCTTTTCATCTGTCCAAAATCAGCTCCGTCAATAAATTACAGGAGCTATTTGAGCCTACACGGGAGGCGATTTCGGAGTTTTGCAAGAGCGAATCGCTCCTCGCCCGTGTACATTTTACACTGCACCTGAATACTACACACTCCTCGTGAGTGCAAGCTCTCACCTTCCTGCTAACGCGCGTGAAAGGCTACTGACAAACTGACCGTCAGACCTGGTAATACTCTGCGGCAGCACTGATAGAGGTACGGTACACAGCGCAGAGCAGCCATCGAGCCCCGGGTTAGGACTCCCGTTAAATCGATCGCCTGACCAACACAAGAGCGTTCAGCTATGTGCGCGCACGTTATATACCAAATTTGTAGAGTACCGCATTGCATATCAACTGTGTGAAATGCTTTCAAGGCAACTCGCCTGATCAAATATGCTCAAGATCTCACCACTTGCACACCATAAAGCAGAAAATGTACAACAACTTGAACAACGCGCGGTACATATCTCACGCTGTAGCCAGAACGCCGAGTAATATCTCATGTGTAGCCATGACAACGCCGGGTAATATCTCAACGTTAGCCCATGACAACGCCGGGTATACTCATGCGAAAGCCCATGACAATGCCGGGTATATCTCAACACGTTATCCATGACACGCTGGTGCGTGAAGCCTAACCTGATATCATACTGAAGCCCGGGAATCGTAAGATCTGAACGAGTGCGGTAGGGAGTTTGTGAGACACTGCTCAGGAGTCTCGGTACGACAGTACATCCCTGCCAGGTGCTATCCCCCCCGGCTGCCACGTGAGACAACAGGTGTTCTAATATAGGCAGGTAAGCCAATGAACTAACTGCAGTTCGGTTTAAGAAATCACGCAATAGGATATATGAGATGATGATGATGATTAATGCTACTGCTGCTTCTAATGATTGTTGTTGCTTATTATGAATATTTTTTGGTAGTGGCGGTTGCAGTAGCAAGCAGAAGCAGTAAACAGCAGCAGCAGCAGTAAGCAGCAGAGCACACACAGCAGCACGTAAAAAAAAAAGCAGCAGCAGCAACAGCAGCAAAGCAGCACAGCAGTAGCAATAGCCCCGTCGCGCAATCGTAGCAAGTAGTAATACAGTAAAAAAAATAGTAAATAATTACTCCGGATAATCTTCTGCATTCTACGGAGGGCCCTGTCACTTAATTTAAGTATTAACCTACCAAGAAGGACAATACCTGCAAAGCAAGTGGCCATCACCACCTCCATCCTGGAGTCCTGGTCCAAGTTCACGACGCCAGCCTGTGCGGACGTTACCTGAGGCAAGTGCAAAGGTTATCGCACTACATTAAGCGGAAATACGCGGGAACACGACGATATCGCAGCGTTAAATATACACTACCCGAGTCATGCATCAATGCTTTTACTGTGTTTCCTCCCATGTTACCTCATTCACCGCTCTGATTCTCCAATGGAAGATAAATCAAGATCACACATATATACTTATGATAAATTTAGGATTAACATGAATTACCTTGTAACCCTAATAAACATGATTAGGTCTGCTTTGATGAGCTAAGACGCCCAATAAATGAGAATTATTATGAACAACTCTCTTCTCGCATCTTGCCTAAATGCTAGAGACCGCCTGCTAGAAAGCGCACAGTATGCTAACATGCTTCTATCAGGCAGCATCTTCAGCCTTCAGCTGGGTTTACAACTACCGACTTACGTTGTAAATTGGCGAGCGTGGACCAATGTCGCAATCGGCACACTGAGTTGGCGAAAATAGAACATGTTCTAATCTCCCAACTATGTAGTACTATTGACCAGTTACTCGCGCGACTTTTGGCGTTTACACTGCCGATTGTCCGGTTGTATAATTGTCGAAAAATTGTCCAATTCGAAATCCAATCTTAACAATGCCAGGAAGTAAGACTAACTTCCTGTATGTAGTGCTGGACGGACATGCGGCCCCCGTTATTGCACGCAGCGCACAGGCTCGCGCGAAGCCGCGCCCCTACAGCGAATACGCCGCCCCCTTTTGTCGCACCTTAGACAATATGTTAGACCAGGGGTCGAAAACAAACTCTGCGAAAAAGCCGCGGATCCCAACCGACATTTGGCCATCGGACGCTAGAGCCATCTTCCAAACGGCCTATAATTACGGTAACACATAGTGGCTCCACAAGAAAACCCCAAGAAAATGCTGTCACTCAAGCACCACGCGCTCGCTCATTCAACCCAAGGCCGCCGTAGTCCGAGCCGGTGTAGGTGTGACGAAACTGCGCGTAATGTTACGCTTCCCGCTATAACCGAATTCGCGCCGTCTCCTTCGGCGCGCCGAATCGTATAGGCGGGCGGCGCGAGATGCTACATACAACAGTCCCCGCGGTCGGCCGTGCGCCCAGTCCCCGCGGAAGGCGCGGCTAACCGCTCTCGGCGGTTCGGGAACAAACGCATCTTTTGCGCAATGCCATTCTTGTACCCGTCTCTCTGGATATTCCTAGATATTATGGAATAGTAAACTAACATGGATAGAATAGTAGCTAACGAGGCAGGCAGAGTATAGCTAACAAGGCAGGGAGAGTATAGCTAACGAGGCAGGCAGAGTACAGCTAACGAGGCAGGCAGAGTATAGCTAACGAGGGATGGAGAGTATAGCTAACGAGGGATGGAGAGTATAGCTAACGAGGGATGGAGAGTATAGCTAACGATGGATGGATGTGACTGACCCCAGGCAGGTCACACTTGTAACAGTCTGTAACGCTAAACACAGCGAGGCAGGCATGATAATACACGATGGAAGCATGACAATTAACGAGGGAGGCAGAGTAGAAGCTAACGATGCGACTCACCCCAGGTCGGTCATGCATTGCAGCTCGTTCTCGATGCGGCGCGGATGACTCGTTGGCACGACGTGTTTCACGGCGAACTTGCTGCTCCCGTGCGGCGGCTTACCGATGGCCAGATACACACAGCTGAACGTACCTGCAATGATCGTGAACCCGGAGTCAACCGCCACCGATCACGAACGCGTGGAAGCTCGGCCCGGTTAGGTTCCGCAACTTCATATATGTATCAGAAATAGCGCGATATTGATGTTTATCTTCGATTTGTTTTATTAAAAAAATGTGCCATTTAAAAAAAAAAATTTAATTGAAAAGCTACTTATTTTAAAGAAATCAATTGTGAGTTCGGATTTATAGATTGCAGAGCTGTAGCTAATGGAAGAGCAAGATGGGCTGTGATGGCCAGATCAATGTGCATACTATTATATGGTTAACAGCTAATAGACTGCGACAGTCGCCGCCAGAGGGCGCCGGCTACAACGCGCAGGTATCGGGGCTGAGCTGGGTGGCGCCGGGTACCTCGCAGCTATTCTCTACGTGAGAGGTCGGACCCATCACCGACGGACTCAAGTAAACTGCCATTAAGTTCTACTGAGCATTCGGTATTTTGTGGAGACGAGAGCCCGGGAAGAGAGTGCCGGTTGTGATATCCGCCCACAAAACTAGGATATCAGCGACGTCAGCACGGACATTGCGACGTGGAAAACAAGTGCTGTGTTGCCATGGCAACTGGGAAGCCAACGGAGTGCTGACAACGACCGGTTTTCATTCCTGCGAGGAACGGCATACGGCGGGGTACTTGCGGGGGAAAATCGCAACTTGGTGCAGCTTTCGGGAATAACATATATGCAAAAGCATACACTGATCCAGGCAGCATTGACTAATTAATGTGTTGAAAGGTCGAGAAAAGAATTAGTTGTTTTTAATTTTCCAATAACAGCTGATGATTGGTGTATTTTGTTTTGTTTTATGGTGTGTATATATTACTTTAATAAATTTTAATTATGTTTTTAATTTTCAATAAAATTATAATTTTAAAAGGTTCTTGCAACTGTTTGCCAATTATTTGTTCTCTATGCATACACCATACGCATTCAGAGAAAAAACAAATACAGAAAATTCCATTTAAGAAAAGCTACTGGAATTCACTTGGGGGAATCAATTAGTGCCTGGCCACTTTCCAATGAATAACGAACGTATGCATACTCATAGCAATAATCTAACCTCATGACATGACGCATTCTCAGCAGATGCCGGAGAAAAAATCCCTGTTTTACCAAATTGCTAGAAACGATTCACAAATATGGCGTCTCGCGTGTGTCATGAAAAGGTAAAATATTCAGAAAAAACAATGCAGCGAGCGAAAGAGGCAGGGTAGGTATAGCACTACAGTAGCCAACCATCCTCATCACCGATATTTTACGTAATTTAATGTGGAGTGATGACGGAGGTTCGTCTATGATGGAGGAACTAGGGTCGTAGAGCCAAGGCAGAGCTTGCCGAATGTAGAGTAGCTTCATAAACAATGATACAACTCGCCTCGCGTTAATCACGCAGCGGATCTACACACCTTAAAGCTGGGTTTACACTACACGCTTTTTTGTTTATAAGAATTCTTTTTATAAGAATCATCGAGGCTTGATTTCCCAAATTTTAAGAAATTTTTAAGAATAATGCTGAGGCTCGATCATCACACACACATTGTCACTCGATGACGACGGCGACGGTGGATTGATAATGAGGATGACCGATTCTATGACGTTGAATTTTGCGGCCGTAGGGTGAAAGTTCATTATGAAAATGGGTGGTTTGAAGGCACTCTTGAATACTTCAACGACGACATACATAAATATCGCGTTTCCTCCCCCCGACGGTAGTGAGGACTATATTGGCCTCGAAGACATTGACGGCGTAGAAGTCATATTACTGTAGTTTAACGAATTGCGTATATTTTGAAAAGGAAGGGTTACTTTCTTGTTGTGTTATACATTGGTTCTTTTATTGGATATTAGCATTTTCCTCTTTCGTTCAACCACCACGTTTTACATGCTATCGCATTTAACAGTTTTAATGAAAATATAAGTTGATTTTTTCAACAATTATTTAAGAATCATTTAAGAATTATTTAAGGCTCAAAATGTCGATTTTCTAAGAATCACGAGGCTCAAAAAAAAAGTACGATTCTTATAAACAAAAAAGTGTGTACCGACTTCACGTTGTAAAATTGGCGAGCTGGACCAATGTCGCAATTCGGCAACACTGAGTTGGCGAAAATAGAACATGTTCTAATCTCCCAACTATGTAGTTACTATTGACCAGTTACTCGCGCGACTTTTGCGTTTACACTGCCGATTGTCGGTTGTATAATTGCGAAATTGGTCCAATTCGCCAATTTGACAACATAAAGTCGGTAGTGTAAACCCAGCTTAACAATGCCAGGGAAGTAGACTAACTTCCTGTATGTAGTTGCTGGACGGACATGCGGCCCCCGTTATTGAGCGCAGCGTCCCACATCGAATACGCCGCCCCCTTTTTGTCCACTTAGACAGACATGTTAGACAGGGGTCTGAAAACGAACTCCGCAAAAACGGGGCGGAATCCAACCGACATTTCGCCATCGACGGCTAGAGGCCATCTCCAAACGGCCCCTATTAATTTTTGGCGGTGGCGCGCCTTACGGGTAACACATAGTGGCTCCTACAAGAAACCCCAAGAAATGCTGTCACTCAGCAACCACGCGCTCGCTCATTCGCCGCTACGCGATGA